TCCCTCACCATCAAAATCAGAAAATATTTTTGTATGATTCCATCTACTAAGCCTGCACCCAAAATATAAAGAGAAAAATCAAGACTATGCATCTTTTTTTGGCAAAAAAAAAAAAAAAAAAGAAGTGTGCAGCCAAAAAGAATGTAGAAATTTATAAATTTGTCCATATTGGAATGCAAAAATCAATTTCCACCCAACAACCTAAAAGCAAAGAAACCAGTAAACAAGCAAGGTTCACCTTGCAAGATTATCAAAAAAATCCAAGAAAGATATTTACAAAAGGAATCTGACAGTGGAAATTATTACTAACATTCAGAACTTGAAAGATATCAGAAATTATCACATGAATGGCATACAAACTAAACCTAATGAATTTGCCAATCAGAAAGTAGCATGAATCCCATCTCCACGAACACATAGATTTCTAAGCATAGATAAATTGTATACTGTACACAGCATGCATATATGATTTAACCATGTCATGACTCATCAAGTAAGAAGTATGAAACCTTGAAGTAGTTGCTTTTGAAAGCTGAGATTTACTTTCCACAGAATTTGCTGAAAGTTTCCTCTCTCTCCGCTCCTTGATCTGTATTCCAAACATGTATTTTACCAACTCTCTCAGAATCGAAGCATATAAATTTTTGCATAACAATAAAGCATCTCTACACAAACCTTTCGTATGTTAATAAGAAGTTTCATATGTTCTTCAGGCATCACAGCTTTGACAGCATCAAGACCACATTTCTTGACCAGCATTTCCAGAAGAAGCTTCACCTGAATACAAGGAAATGTGAATTAGGAAAATTCTTACAAATGAAATTACAACTACAAGCCATCAGAAAAATGCACAGGATCAGCTTGGCAAATAATAGTAAAGGCATGGTTTGAAATCTCCACCCCTAAATATCAAGACAAACAAAATGCATTATGATAACTGGGTTTTATGGGTACAAGGGAAAAACTTACTAAAAGGGCAACTAAATCAATTATCTCTAATGCTATATGTACCAAACTAAAGATTAGACAAAACACATGAACCTATGGTTCGGAAAGGTTATGTGTAAACACAAAAATAGGTTGATAAAAGTAATGATTCACGGTACATGATGATCTTAAACACAAAGTCAATGGTTTGATAGGAAAAGCACAGACCTTGGATTTAAAATGGTTTTTAGTATCATCCTGCCAACTTAACAAGCCTTGCACCAACATTCCCAGGTGTGCTCCCAACCCTTCAGCCTGTGACTTTGCCACCAATACTTTTAATAAACCCAAATTTGCCTGCATTTTAGACCGCTTGAAGATTTGAGTGAATAGGAGAGGAGAGGAAACTATGAACGCATGTCTGTTTTCTTGTGTGTATTTGTGTGTGTGAGGCAGGTAGGGAGCTAACTTTTATAATTTCTTTGTTCTTTCGCTGGATGAGGAGAAACGTGGAAGGAAGCAACTTATAAGTGGCAGAAACAAGATCTGAAAACTCATATGCTAACCGAGCCAAGCCTTTTACTGCAGCACTAATCATGTGAGGAGTTTCTCCAACCATACCTCCAGCGACCTGGTGTCACAATAAATGAACAAAATTTATGCTACATGGCTAAACAATTTAAAATAGGAAACAATCAATTTGTTCAAAAGAAAAAATTGGTCTCAGATTTAATACCATGTTAAAAATTTGATACAAGTTTTCTCTTTTACCACCAGTTTCTTCATCTCCACATGCATGGCCAATTTGAACAAGAACCTCATAAGCTCTATTTCTTGTTTTCTTATTAGCCTGCATTCATAATCATAGAGAAGAAAATCAACAATCATAAACAGCATGAAATTAGAAAGCTATAATGAAAAACGTATATGCATACATTAGTAATAAACACAATCTTAATATTTCCACCAATATGAGCATTTAAAAAGCATTCTCTCTCTTCTCTTGAAAGAATGATAGACATCACACCATACCTGACATCATAACAACAATTTCACGCTAGTCCAACAGAATTAACCATAATAACATGGCTAACCAGAAGATGAGATTTTTACCTCTTTCAGAGCTAGTATGATCTCTGTTAGGAAAGAGCCAAGAATGTCATGCCTCCCATTCACCGACTCATCCTGTACCAGTAGAGCAGAATGCTAGTTAATGTCCACTCAATATTGCTGGCAATACCATCTTCCAATCTTCTAATTTCCAAACATCTTATGTTTATTTAAATGGTAAAGAACGGTTTTGGTTAGTAACCTTGGAGATATAAGCTATCAAATAGTACAAACAATCAAGTCTGTGGCGTTTGGCAGAAAAATGGCACAATGGTAGCACTTCAATCATAAGTCTAAGTAATTCTTCAAGCTTTGATGAAAGGTTCTCATCACAGTCCTGACAAAAACAACACAAAACACCAAACCACTCATTAAAAAATTTATTCTGCAAAATCAATAAAAAAACAGAAGAATGAGAAGGCCCCACTGGACAAGAGGGGAAGTTAACAACAGTAACATTGAAATTTACATGCAGCAATAAACAAAAGATTGACAACCATAAACACAAACTTAAAATTACTGTTAAATGGAGTAAAAAGACAATATGTGGTGAGATAATGAGAGATAGAAGTCATGCTTTCGCAATAATAAAAGTAATACCCTTAGGATTCTTGAAAGAACTTTATAAGCCTTCTTCTGAACTATGCCTTCAGTATCCTGCAGTTCAAGAATACCATTTCAGTATTGATAACAACTTGAATTTCTTCAACATAAAAGAATGAAAAACAGTCATTCATTGGACAATAAAGTTCCAATCACTAGACAACAGAGAATTTAACGAACCTTCAATGCAGGCTTTATTGCACTGAATAAGGTATCTAATGCTTGCTCATCCAAACCAGGCAACAGAGCAACTGCAAGGTCAAATAGATGTGCCCTGCAGTTAAGATAGATATATAAAAAGACTGTCAAATGTTGCAAAATCCCATCAGAATTACAAATTTCTAAACATGGAAGAAATGCAACAAAATAAAGAAATAGAGAAAACCTTTCGATGGATGGTGAGGTTCCATTTGTTGAATTCTCTGCTTTATTAACCACTTGTGTGACTTTCAAAAGCCTCTGCATTGTCTTCTTGAATATGGTTCTGATAACATTCTTATGTGCTATGGAAGCAAATTCCCAAATTGTGGACTGTAATTTTTTAATCATCAATATGAACTTAGATATAGCAGAAAGTAAGTGAAACACTCCAAAATTGCCATACAACTTTTTAAGAGAAGGAATTCCCCAGCATCTTATAGTGTTAACAAAAGCATTTATTTGTCAAGATAGATGCCCCTAATTTAGGCTTGCTTTGACAATGCTTTACATAGATCTTTTTCACACAGCACCTTATCTAAAACTGTAAATTTATTTCTTAATTGATTTTAATTAGCTTTTTATATATATATTTACTAATTTTAATTAATATTTAATTTATTTTTTTGGGTAGTAAAAAGACAGAAAAACCTACAGTTACAGCACAACACTCCCAAACAAAGCCTTAATAAAAATGCAGCCTATAATACAGCCAATTATCTTCACTTCAAAAAAGAATGGATCCAATTGTTCAAGGTCTAATGTCAAAATTCAAGTAATCCACAGATTAGAAAACTAGGCAATGGTACCATCTTAAATTTCAAAAGTTTCAGACCAAAGGGAAGAAAAAAAAAATTATTTGCAGAAATTCAATCACTGGGCCATAAGATATTATAAATGACTCTGAATCAAAACAATTTACAAGGCGAAGAAAATGAAAAAAGTAACTTCAGCTAGGATAGCGCATGTACCTGTAAAGCACCACCCTCATCTATTGTAGATTCCATGAAGATTTGTGACAAAACTGATAGCATCTCAGGAGCAGATGCAGCAAGCACATTCAAATTATTTTCAGCAACCACTGGGGAGTAGCGGGAAATGGCTCGCTCTGTGGCAGGACATATATCAATAGTGGATAAATCATTATTTCCTTCCTTAACTTTTTTATTTTGTTGAATCAAAATCTGCAAACTAGAGCATATTATTCCACGAATATCATGTCCTTCACGAAGCACACTGATTAAAGCATTCTGCAGATCTTTAAAACTTTCAGCAGTATCTACAGGGTAATTGCAAAATGAAGGCAACAAGGACCAGAGAGAGTATACAAGAGCATCCATACTCCTTGATGAAAAAACCCTTCCTTCTACTTGAAGCTGCCAAAAATATGAGGTAATTAACAGATGATACAGCTAATCTTAAAAAGAGAAAAAGAAAAATTGTACCTGCTGTGATCTCTGCCTCATCTTCCCAACCATGCCCAATAAAGTTTTGGTAAAGAAGCTCAAATGGGCACCAACAATGTACTGCTTCAGAATGGGAAACAGCCAAACGTTTACCTTTGAAGGGTCAGTAGCCTCTAGGTTCAGAGGTAAAAGTCCTAAAAATGTCTCTGGACCCATTGCACCTAGTGCAGACCCAACACATTCATGTAGCTGCAAGCCCACATACATTTAACAAGCCAGTTAAGAAATTCCCGGTTAATAACAAAAACAAAGGATAAATTGAAGATAATAAGTGAAATTGCAGTTTGCAAAGCTGAATCACCATGTGCAAAATTTATAAGAAAACAAAGACACCAATACCAAGTGAATGTTCGGCAAGGTGATTGGCATTGGGGTAATACTTTCAGAAGCATCTTTTATTTCCATTTTTTATTTCTCATCTTATTCTCTCAAATATTAAAATTAAGGAAATTTTCAACCAGTAGCTGTAATCTTATATGTATGATTATGAAAACAGTGTTCAATTCCTGAAAGAGGCAATGAACTTTCAACTTGCCATCATATTGAACCATGACATCAAAATAAAGCATTTAAATAAAAAAATTAAATAAATTAAAAAAAAATGCCTTGACAGGCGTGAATAACACAAGTAAAAAATTCTAGACCTACAGAGGCTCAGTGCAATTCTAAATGATAGTTAAAGCATTGAACTGTACGTATTTCATACAATATAAAATTCAAAATGCCATTCAACGTTTTCTAGAGAGAATGCATAATAGAAACCTGTTTTCTGTAAGGGAAATCCTCATCTGGCAAATCTTGCATGTCTACCAAATTCTTTAAAGTTCCCTTCATAAAATATGAAGAATAATACCCTGAAATAAAATAATATGCTCAGTGATTTAAACAAAGAATAGCACCATCAAAAAAAAAAAAATTATAAACCAGTCCCAGCACCTAAAAAAAAAAAAGAAGCAAGAAACTGCAATCATAGTACCTAACTTCTCAAACATGGATGAAATAACCTTAAATGCCACATCCCAAACTGCACTGTAGTGATAATCAAGTAAACTCTCAATAGTCACACATAATTTCTCAATGATAGTTGGTCCAGACTTTCTAGCATCCACATTTGTATTTATAATCTGATCCACCCCTTGTTTGATCAAGGTCTCATCAACACATGCATTTATCAGGTTCTTGAATGCCTCCATTGCTGCATAAATAGCCTCCTCATGTTCTGATGCCAAAATTTCTGCCACATCCAAAAGTAAAGAATCATACTAGATCAGCTTTGCCACTCCTATGTTAACAGGAAATATTACTAACAACAAGAAAACAACCAATTGCAGTCTAACTTGGTAAACAGACAGATAGATACTGACCTTTGAGTGCATTGAATATAATGGGAAGTTTAATGACACATATTTGCCTATTGAGAGAATATATTTTTATCATCCCCACACTCAACAAACGAGCATTGAAAGTTAAGGAAACTGCAGACTTTTCCTCTGTGGAGACAGAAAGAGCCACTGAACATAACAATTCAAGCATTGCATCAGCTGAAACCTCTTTAGTTGGGTGGGAACAAACTACATAGAGACTATCAGTAATGCGTTTGTCAACAAGAGGTTGGCGAAGTTCCATAAGATTTTTGTAGTATTTCAGGATAGTAGTCATGTACTTCATGGACATTAGAGAGAGACACTCCTTAAGAGCATCTAAAACATAGAGAACCTCATGAGCTCCTTTTGGCCCTTCACTGGAATCTGCCTTGGAGCCACCGGCAAGCAGTAGAAACCTCTCAAAAACGTTTGTGATCCCTTCACTTGCAGGCGCCAGCACTGATGTTTCTTGGAAACTTTGTAGGACATCACGAAGACACAAATGTGCTTGCCTACGTACCTGTTAGAAAAAACAGCAAATACTTGCCTCAACATCAAATGGGAATTCAATGGAAAATGGAAATACAAACAGTATCAAATTTAATTCCAACTATAGCGTTTCTGATATACAAAAAAAACACAGATGAATATCTAAAGGAAGTACCTTTGAACGGGAATCAGTCACATATCCCATAAGAACGCCGTACAATTGCCCCAGATTGGACCAATTGGCTTTGTCTCCGGTCGTCAACAAATGCGACAGGCATTTTAATCCTGACAGCACCCCATCTTCCGTTACAGATGTCAACCTCAGAACTCCGACAACCGTCTTCGACACAAAATTCCCCCTCTTCTTCAAAACGGCAACTGGAATCCGAGGAAGGACAATGGAGAGGATGGTGGTGAGAGATTGGATGACATTATGAGAAGCATCAGTGGTAGAGAGGAGGCGGTCTAGTGAGGATAGCGTGGCACCGAAATAGGCAAGAGGGGTGAGAGTGATGTTCTGGTCTTTGAGCTCCTGAGCCATGGCGCCTATAGCTGCACAGAGGTGTTGGTGTTCTTCCTGTGTGGAATTGGAGAAATGAGAGAGGATAGACTCACAGAATTCGTCAGCTGGCGAGTCTAACGACCGCACAGGGACTTCCATCTCAATCCCTTCCATGGCGTAAAGAAGCGTTTGTTCCTATTAGATGAAGAAAGCCCTGTCCAACGGCGACGGCCAGCAGCAGCAGTGAGAGGTTTGGAAACTGGAATCGGTATCAGCCAGGTGCCGGCGGGTTGTTCTCGGCGCAGGTGGAAGAGCGAGGACGATGAGGAGAGGAGGGTAATAGCTTGGCTATCCCCAAGAATTAAGTAGGGTTTTTCTTTTCCTTTCTGGTTTTGGGTAATGTGTTGGACTTTGGTATTGGTCTGTGATATATACAAGATAAGTCCAATAAACCTTTAAACAGACCGGCCCATGAATACAGAGAGCAGTATTTGTTTCTGTAAATTCTACATTTTTTACTTTATTTTATTTTATTTTTAAAAATTTAACCACCAACATTATATTTAGCTACCTAAATTATTTTATATAATATGAGTCTGGTGTTTTGCAATATGAACTGTGTTAAACTACAAAACACTAGTTATTGAACGAAAAATCATTTATCAATATTAGGAGAACCTTGTTAATTTAATTTTTTTTTTTTTTTGTACATCTGAGTATAAATTATATAAGAAAGGATAATCATTCTCTATTCTTAAATCCCTTTCCACTCAACTCAAGACTCAAATTTGAAATTTTCAATTTAAAATCTCAAACTCTTAATCGTTAAGTAATCTCATTGGGGTTATTAATTTAATAGTTAGTGTTTTGCAATTCAAATTACAAAATAATTTTTTAATATAATATTTAGTTACTAAAATAAATGAATGATAAAAACCAAAAATCTCCTCTGTTTGTTTGGCTTCCTCCTCATCTCTTTTATCTTGTTTTTTCTACCTTGTTTGTTGGGTTATCTGGCACGATTTGTGCAACAAAGCAGCTTTAGCTCATGTTGGAAATTGAGGCTTGAGCTGCAATTTTTGCAGGTGTTAGTTGTTTTTAACTCGGGCCCAATCTTAAGTTGGATGCATTGGTAGTTACAACTATTTTCTCACTCATTGAGGCACAAACTCCCCTCAATCTAAATCTTTTTATTTAACTAGGATGGCTTAACCTGGAGTATTGGAAGTATGTATTTTCAATGTATGTAATTTAAGTGCATGTATTTTAAACCCATGTGTGGATTATACTGTTTAGATAAATTAACCTATTATGCATTTGAAAATAATTTCATGTTAAATCACTTCCAAGCCGCCTTTACCCTAAGGCCCTCTAAGTCCTCCTGTGCCCAATGTGACTCAAGAATGACATAGAACTCAAGGAAGAACCTCTTGGCGATCCATGATAGCTCATGGAGGGGGCTCGGTTTAATTTTGGAATTAGGATGACTTTGGGGTAACCACAAACTTGTGGCTAAAGGAAGAAATTTGAAATACACTCATTTTACCCTTTGAAATTTAAGGGTTTGTTTGGAATACAATCAAATTGGATAAAATTTAAAGGACAAGATTAGATTGAATTAAATAAGATATAATAAATGAATTAAAATCTTATGAAATGTTTGGTTGATCATTGGATTAAAGTAGAATTAGGCAAAAAAAATTATCTATATAGACAAAACTACCCTTACATTACGATTAAATCCAATAAATTTTATTTTATTTATTTACCATTAATCATAATAACATTTAATAGTGAAATTAATTCAGATAATTATAAGATTAAATAAAAAATAATTATAAGATAAAAAATAGTGAAATTTTTGTCTCATCCCATTGTTTATCCAGCGCTCCAAAGGCACTGTAAGAGGTCCATGTCAACAAAATAATTCAACAATGAATTGTTGTCTATAAATTAAGAGCAAGTATTGGATTGTTGTTGATTTAGCTAATCATTAGTAATGTTGTCCAACAAAATAATAATAATAAAGATTTTAAAAAAGAGATGACAAAGAGACAAGAGAAATCAATTTGATTTCAAAGGTTGTTCCATCCAACGACCTTTATCAATTATGTACATTTTACACAATATTCATCAATTATGCTACAAAACCTCAATTTCTTTAAGGAAAGGAAGCATTAATTATGACAACTATTTGACAAAAGTCCTAAAAACGCCAACTACCATACAACACAGCCTGAGCTGTAAGCTTCTACCTGCCGCACCTTCCCTCCGCCGCCCTCCTCCCACAACCTCACAACGTTGCCGTTGATCACCGTCAAGTCCTGGTAACGATACCACCCCATTTCCGCCGTTCTCATCCTCAACATTCTCTCCCAACTCCCCCAGTACCGTTCCTCACTCATCCCGCCATCATCGCAGTCACTCGAATACTCTTTCTCTTCCGATGCCACCGTCATCTCTCCTCCATCGTCCTCGTAGTACAAAACGAACTTATTCCTCCCTTTCGTCATTCCGTCATAACTTCCCGACTGATCAGGAGTAACAACAGACGCCGGCGATGAACACGAAGTTGACGCCTCCTCCTCCATCATTGACGACAACAACTTTTCCCGATGATTAACACAAGACAGTGGCGCAGCAGGCGTGTCGTCGACGAGCTTCTTCAAGGGTGTGATCCCAGCGGCAGCTTTAATTTTCCAGAAACTCACCGCCGCCGTGATAACCGCCACCAACGGCCATAGATTATTAACCAACGAAAAAATCCCAAAACTTACATAATTAAACGTGAGAGCTTCAAGCGGAGAATCCAAAACGTGATCCATGATTCTTCTAGATTAATTTCTCTCCCGGAGCTTTCTCCCGGTCTCAGGTCTATTTCTCCCTTAGAAATTAATAAACCAGACGGGAGATATGTACGCCGTTGGATGAGCAAGTGGGAGAGAGGATCAGATCAAGATGCCGAGAATCGAGCGCTCAGATGCCAATTGGTAATGAAAAGATCCATTATTTATACCGAATAATACAAAAATTCAGGTACACGTGTGAGAATTTGAGCGGTTTAAGGATTCGCCATCGTGATGTTGACCACTGCGGAGTGGAAAGGGTGTGGTTATCTTTCGTCCACAGTATTTTCGAGATTATTTAAAAATTATTTAATTTATTAAAAATTTTATTTATTTGTATTTTTTTCTAAAATATTAATTTATAAATTATTTTTA